CCCGAAAACCGGGGTCACTCTAGTCAATGACACAAATCCAATTTGGTACTATTGTGGTCAGATTGGCCATTGCCAGACCGGCATGGTTGGTATTATCGATCCACCGTAAGCAGGGGCTTCCAAGGTTGTCCAGGCGGCTTATTCATTTTTTGTCAGCTTCAATGGCCGGGAACCCCTGGGATCTTTCAAGCAGGCTGCAGCAAATGCAGAAGTCAGCACCGTATCTGCAATAGTTCGGGGTTTCCCGGAGAGTCCGAGGGCGAATCATCGAGCAGCACAGCGAACCCGGAACAACTCGCTCTATCTTGAGTCCCGCAAACTCGGCTAATAAGATCCAGCACACTCGGCTAATAAGATGACCACAGCCATGTGTTTAGCTGCGAGTATTAAATTATTTTAGGATTCTCTCAGGTCTCCATGTCTATGATGTAGGGTTATGGGTCGGTGCTCGTGCTGCAACGACGGTCCCTAAGCTTGGAGATGGAGCTTTTATTAGGTGACTAAAATTCATGTAGAAATTCTGCCTTCCCCGACGATTTGTATTTGAACCCGGTGGTAAGAATGTCATTCTTTGAAGCTAAGCTGCGTTTTAAGGGTATAGTGGAGCTAAGAATACATATAAAACTCAATTGTCCCTGTTCAGGATGAGCACATTTATATGTCTTGCCCCGTCTAGACGTGGCGTGATACACTTTCCAACGATTAAGAGAGATCTGGGGATCTTACTCTGGGGGAATCGGTTGGCGACAAAAAATCTCCTCAAACCCGATGATTAAAGGTTCTGCGGGACAGGTAGTGATAGGAGCGTCGTACTGTTTTAGCACGCAGGACGTGGTAACTTGACTGCCGCACAATTTGTAGATTGGTGGCTGTGTCTAGGACAATCGTCTGTAAGGTGATTTCTGGAGAAGACCGATTGATCGACACAATAACCACAAGCTTGACTTGGCCCCTAGAGTTTGCGAGCCATCATACTGCATCTGCCTTGAGCTTTCGATAGGATTCCGAGACTCCAACTTCGATCGCAATGGTCGGCCGTTCACCACCTCCCGGAATAGGCGGTGAAGGAATCCACGACCCGGCCTCCTTTGAAAATACACCTCGGAGACGTATACTCCCTGTCGGACGGAGCGACCTACGCAGTCCTATAAGGACCAACAGATCGCACTGCGCAAACCATGGTTCCCGCGGCTGTTTGATGGGCCCCATCGACCAGCTTTAGAATTAGCGACCGTGTGTCGTAGTTGTACATCTACCTCGTAGATCTCGAGAAGCGTTGTTCTACCACGCTTGGTGGGACGTTTTCTAACCGGAGGTATTTGACTAGCTGAACAGTTTCGATTTGCTGTGCCCTGTGAGTGCGAATAGCGGGAGCCGATCGACCGTCGGCCTCGAAGGTGTCGGATATTGCATCGAAACACTCGAGGTCTGAGGAGGTTACTAGGTCATCCATGTCTGAAAGTCCTCAACAGTCAATGTGGGATCCTTTGATAAAGAATCGACGTGAAGAGAAAGGGTTGACATCTCTGACCTTCCGAAGCCAGAGTTTGTAGGTTATAAGCTTTCAGGTAGTTATTCTTACCTTATTGATTGGAAGTAGATAGAATATGTGCCAGCACACTCTGGCAAAGAGAAGGACGTGATGATGGGCCAGAGTGCTGGTGATGGTTGATCTCGTTGGAGCTGTGACGAAGTATAGGAGCGAAGAGAGCGAAGAAGGGAAGATCCGGACGGCAAGACAAGGAAGGTGATGTCTTAACAAGGATGAGGAAGGAGCAGAAGACTCTTGGAGGTCTTTTTACATTTCTTTTTCACTCATGTATCTATACATACGTATGTATGTATCCATATGTCTTTTTAGGTGTCCTGTAGATGTCCTCAGGAGTAGATGTCTTCAGCCGCTAACTATAGAATACAGTGAAATCATTCCTATGCACCTTTCCATATATGACATATATGCCTAGTTGACTAGAGATGTTTATCCAATCAATTACTCTATAAAAACATCAAAAATATCGTAGATGGCCAATTTTCTGGCAATCAAGGCCAAGAAGATGAAGGTCCCAAATGTAGTGCACTACAATATAGATACGTCGGTGCGCCTGGGCCAGAATGAACGCCATTCTCGAATGTATCCGGTCATTATCCTACCATGTGAGTGGATTTCCCTGCCTTTCATGGAACCAGTAACAACTTTGCACTATGACCACAACCATGTAGAAGAAGACATAGTTCTGGAGGTTGAGATATCTCTTATTGACAACCAATTGGTCTAAGCTATCATACAGAGACATGTGCGTATTCGGAAACCCGTAATCTTCCAGCAAATAATACATGGTATATCATACATAGAGAAGTATAGGTAACTCCGGTGATTCTGCTCCAGCAGCTCAGCGCTTTTTCTATTATCTCATGCTCTCGCATTGACGTGAGCATATGCTAACTAGTGGATCTGTTTTATAGAATCAACTTAATTTGGACGATTTCTGCAAAAGTCAAGGTCGATCTGCGAGATTGCTGATCAGCCACAAGGTCCTCATCCACGCGGTACTCTCCAGAAATGGGATACGGAGAATAATCCCACTTTTTCGGAGAGATGGCCCAAATGCGCTCATATTATTGCAGCGGATATAGCCGACCGCATCCTCGTGCCTTTTTTGGCACCGCAGAAGGTCCCCAGGGGTGTCGAAGCGTGGGATGCGCTAACGAGTGTGTGAATATAAAAGCTGGAAGCCAAGCCAGTTGCTGAGCTTAATCACAGTCACCATGCTTGGCAAATCATCTCTTGCGGTGGCGACGCTGGTCGCCCAGGCGTTGTCCGGACTCGGAGCGATCATTGAACGAGAAACGGTCAAAGTGACAACCTCCAAGACAGTTCGAGTTGGTGAACTGGCCAATATCCATCTCGACTGGTTTGGTCAACCGCCAAATCTGATCAAATCTGTCTATGCGCCCTGCGATGGGGGTTCGTCGACGAAAGGGCAAATCATCGGACAGTTTTCAATTCACGATCAGCCTCCACAGCGACTGGCTTGGGTGGTTCCAGATGAGGCTCCAACGCACCATTGTGTTTACGTATATGGATATGATGGCCTGAATGCAACACAGATGGTCCTGGGCAAAAGCAGCCCGGTCTCCTTGCAGAAGAAGCCTACAGAACGATCCACGGCAGACACCAACATCCCGTTGCTGAAGGACTTTGATGCGCAGGGAGCATGGTTCGACGGAGTGGCGAAAATCAGAGGCAAAGTGGAAAAGAACGGAGGGGTTGCTTCAAAAAACTCACCAAAGAACACCTCGATCGCAATTGTTGGTGGTGGAATCTCTGGGCTTGCAACGGGGCTGATGCTCGATAGCATCGGTGTCCACAACTGGGAGATCATCGAAGCCAGCGACCGCGTGGGGGGGAGATTCCGGACGAAATATATCGCCGACACTCAAGAATGGGCTGAGATGGGACCAATGCGACTTCCACACTCTGTCACTTACAAGGACGACAATGAGACACTCCTGTATACTGATCATCAGTTGACTTTCCAAATGGCCAACATCTTGAACAACATGAACAACAATGACTCGCAGTGGAAGATTGACTTCATCCCCTGGATCCAACACAGTCCCAATGAGTTGTACGCTCGAGACACTCGCCGACATCCAGATGGAAGAATCCCTACTCGCGCCGAAATCGAGGAGGATCCAAGCCTAGAGGATCCCCCAGCAATGACAAGCGCCGAATACAGCAACACTGAGAACAAGATGAACAAAATCCTGAAGGACGAAAAGACTCTTAAATCTCTTCAGAAGGATGTCTGGAGAGCCCACAAGACCGCCATGGACCAAGGGCTTGATGACTGGAGCGAACAAGCCATGATGCGACATGTATTCAAAGCCAGTCAGAATATCACCGACGAGATCTGGACCTCGTCCGACTACGATGTGTTCTGGGATGAGCTGCATCATAACTCCAACCTCGGCCTAGATGGAAGCAAGGACAGTATGGGCAAAACAGAATGGCTCTGTATCGATGGAGGATTCAACCGCCTGTCCGATGCTTTTCTTCCTCACGTCCGCGACAGGCTTACTCTCAATCGAAAAGTCCGGAAACTGGAGTCAGTCAAGGGAAGTGATGGCCACACTCGCACTCGACTGTCATGGTACCCCAGTGTCTCGAATCGCACCTTCGAGTCCAAAGAGTACGATTACACAATCATGGCAGCGCCATTCACCATGTCCCGCTTCATGGACCTGCCCAAATTCTCCTCCGTGCTAGACCGCGCGATCAGCGAAGCAGGCCTGCGATTCAAGTCCGCATGCAAAGTAGCTCTACTATTCTCCGAGCGATTCTGGGAAAAGGGCGACCGACCAATTTTCGGCGGCTACTCCAAGCCATCAAGCGACTCAGTTGGTGCACTTTACTACCCAGTGTACGGACTCAACGAGTCCCGCCCGGGTCTAATCATGCACTACCGAGGTGGCGATTGGAGCGACCGGTTTGTGAGTTTCTCCGACGAGGAACACGTCCAGACGGTGCTGGATTCCATTGTCAGCCTGCACGGTGAACAAGCTCGCGACCTTTACACGGGAGATTATGAGCGTCTCTGCTGGCTCCAGGATGAACATACTGCGACTTCTTGGTGTCGGCCAGATGTTGCACAGCATCAACTGTACATTCCGGCTTATCACCAGACAGAGCATAACACGATTTTCATTGGAGAGCACACCGCGCCAACCCACGCTTGGGTTAGCTCTTCTCTGCATTCGTCTGTTCGTGGGTCGGTCCAGCTGCTGTTGGAGTTGGGTTTGGTGGATGAGGCGAAAGAACTTAACCAGCGGTGGATGGGGAGATGGATCAAGCTATGATGTATCTGTACTGCTCTCTGGTGTGGGGAATATTATCCTAGAAAGTGAAAGTACTCATGGTATATGATGTAGTATAAAATTCCAAAAGATACTGTGCTGTGTAATGTCACTTCCCTCTTGTGGTCATTCAAATACCCTCTCTACCATGACAAAATATCTCCAGTGAACGATATGAACTTTCCCGAGACATCTTCCCTTGTAGCGCTGTCAATAACATCAAGCATCCCCTTGACGCTATTCTCAACAGTCACCGGCGGGCTACCAGGATATCCCCACTCCTTCGCAGCGAAATCCCCCGCGCGCGTCTGCACCCAGCCAGGATGCAGAGCAAACGCAACCAATCCATCTGCCTCATTTTGAATATGGAGAGCCTTAGTAAGCCAGTTCGAGGCTGCTTTACTGGGACCATATGCGCCACCGGAAAAAGGCTCCTGATCGGCAATCGAACCGACGGAGGAGGACATGACGACGAGCTTCGGGGGAAAAGCCGACCTCTGCATAAAAGGCCAGAAAGCCTGGAACACGAGGAGCGGGGCGATGGTGTTGACTTCGAACGATTTACGGAGGTCTTCCGCTGAGGTCACTAGGGCCGGAGTCATGGGCGTCGCGAACCCGGCATTACAGATGAGCACATCGATATGCGTCACTGTGCTGGCTGCTGCGGCGAACACCTTTGTAATCTCTTCGGGGGATAGTCCTGTTGAGAAGTCTAGTTCGATGATGTGGAGAGTACTATTTTTACCCACGACAACAATCTCAACGTCTGACCTAAGGCTTGTGGCTGCGTCGTGATTGCGCACTGAGGCCACGATGGTGGTGGCAGGACGTTCTAGTAGCTGTTTGGTCAGTCCAAGACCGAGGCCTCTGTTTGCACCTGTCACGACATATACTATGTTTGCAGTCGAGGCCATTATCATGAGTGCTTTTGATATAGGACACTTTTTCGATTCAAGCAGCAAAAGAGGAAAGGAAAAGAAAGCAATGCGCCCCCTCCTTTTATACTTAGAGCTTATGTGAAGCGGGCCAATCAGGGCTCGACTCCTCTGAGGGCATCACGCCAACAGTTGTCGTTGTCAAATTTGATTCAAGCTGAGCATCGTACTGCTTATTCAAGTCAAGTGCCTACGAAACCCTAGTCTATATACAGTTAGGGCATTAATATATTCGACAGAGCCCAAAATCTCCCAAGGTTCTCTAATCTCCGATCCACCGGCAAATCCCGAAATCATTGCCAAAAGGAGTTGGAGAACACATCGTATCTGTCTTCAAATATTAACAGAAGAGGGGTCAATGGATCAGCCGTATCCGTTATCTATCCACTTGTGAGGTCTATATATAGGGCTGATAGGACCTATGATTCCGATGTCCTCGGAAGGTCCCCAGCCGCATGTGCATGAAAACATCCGATTGTGAACTAGGCTGGCATATTTAAACCTGTTGTCTGCTTTCAAACGACATGGCTGCAAGAAAAGCATGTCATGGCTCCTAATGGTCTTGGGTCCTGCACTTGGCGTGTCTCTGCCTCTCTTCTTCTCTTCTTGGCTGTCTCGACTATCTGTGCCACTTTAACTGTTGATAACGGCAAACTGTTTACAGTCAATGGCATCAACTACTACATTGACGATGCGGTCTCGAGAATAGTTACTTCAGATTTTGATTCGACTCGATTTGATGCAATCATTCCCCTGACGGTAATTCGAACAGATGAAGCTCTGCTTACTGCGGACATTATAAAAGAGACCATTTCAAATTACTCGGCCGCCGACGATGTTTTTCAGGCCGGATTCCTTGAAGGTGGAGTTAATCATGTCAATCAGTCTACCAAAGGACTTCCGTTGACTTCAAGATAGCGGTTCTCCTTGTCTACGATGGGGATGGTAGGGGCCAAGTCGAGTCTGATGTTCAAAAAGCTCTGCGGGGACTTGAAAATAAACTTGTGATGGCCTCTTCCAGTTATCAATCCGGAAGCAATGTCACATCCGTCAAACTGCGCCATGACATTCCAAAGGGGCCCTACTTTTACGCCCCGCGTACTGGAGAGATCTATCAGGCCTTCCGTCTTTATTCCGATCATCAGCTAGCATTTACTGAAGCTGCCCTTAGCGATGGAGCTGGGGGATTCAAGCCCTTGCCAGCAACTTCATCAGTGAGTAAAATTGTGACCTGTTGAAACCTTTGCTGATCAATTATAGGGTGCCATGACGAAGAGTGTTGCTGTACCATCTAGGTTATACTATACGCCAACATCAACGAAGCCACTTGCAGGGGTAACTTTAGCAAAATAACCTGTTATTATCCAAATTTTTGACTAACACCATGCAGTTACGTTTAGGAGTGAAAGACATCTTTGATTTGAAGGGACTACGGACTAGCGGTGGCAATCGGGCCTTTTACAATTTATATCCTCCGCGAAACACCACCGGTCCCGCAATTCAAAGGCTCATAGATGCAGGGGCCGTTATTGTAGGGAAAATGGGCACTGTTCAATTTGCAAACGGAGATAATCCCACCGCTGATTGGGTCGACTTCCACTGTCCTTTCAATCCTCGAGTAAGTCCAACCATTGAAATCGATGGGATTGGGATTCCACTGACCATTGTCTCAGGGTGATGGTTATCAAAGCCCCGGTGGTTCATCATCAGGACCTGGTGCCGGTATCGCATCTTACGACTGGCTGGACATTGCCGTGGGAAGTGACACGGGTGGCTCTATGCGTAGCCCAGGGGGACTGCAGGGACTCTTTGCCAACCGCCCTTCTACGGGAGCTGTATCGCTTGACAATGTCCTTCCACTCTGCCACGAACTCGATACAGCTGGCGTTTTTGCTCGCAATGCTGCAACCTGGTCAAGGGTTATGCATGCGTGGTACCAGAACTTTACTAACTATAGAGAGTATCCGAAAAGGTTGTTCTACCAGAACTCTTCTTTTCCCAGCTCCAGCACAGCATCTGGTGCAATTCTTGAAGAATTCGTTATGAAAGTGGAAGATTTTCTGGGCACGAAGAGGGAGTTTGTTGATATCGCTTCGCATTGGGAGAAAAGCCGCCCTTCCGATACACCCGCGAATATAACTGACTTACTGAATACAGTGAGTTCCAGCAAGATCGAAATACATATTCAGACTCTAATATCCTATAGACATATGCAGTGTTGGTATCTGTCGATCAATATCGCTCTCTTTCTTTGCCGTTTTACGCAGACTACGCAGCAAAGCACGACGGTCGCCGACCATTTGTGAATCCAGGACCCTTGTTGCGATGGGCATGGGGCCAGAATAATGGTGGCGATGCCGCCTATGACGAAGCCCTCAAGAACAAAACGATTTTTAAGGGCTGGTGGGAAGCCGATGGATACGGAAGGGCAGACGAAAGGACTTGCTCTGAGGGTATCTATGTATATCCTTACAGCAAGGGTCAAACACAGTATCGGAATGTCTATTTTGAGTGAGTAGAAAGTCCTTGAAGCGACGAAATGATCTATTACTCATATCTACAGTGCACCTTCTGGGCCTCCGATGGGCTTTAAGGATGGTCGGGTGGCCATCTTGGCCGGTACCCCTGATTTGGTAGTTCCTGTTGGAGAGGTCCCATATTACTCCACCGTCTCGCTCAAAACGGAGTTTATGCCGGTTACTATGAGTTTTGGCGCAGCCCGGGGCTGTGATCTGATGCTGGTCAATCTCATTGAGGATTTGGAACAGGCGGGTATCTTGAAGCCCGTGAGCACGGGGCCAACGATGTATCCTGCGTTAGTCTGAAAGCATTTAGATTGATATTTTCAAGTCAATATAAGATCAGGCCGTGAATTGTGTATATGGAATCCCAATGTTGCATTGTTAGTTATGCGAAATATTTCGTGGTCCGCCAGGGCCCTCTTCCAACCCGTTTCTTCTAGGTGCGTCGGAGCGCCAGCGCCAGAATGGGCGCATGAAAGATGAGCTTCGATCACCATTCTCGAATATATCCGCGGCATGCTTCAATCTGTCAGTCGTGGTCTCGTGGAGTGAGTGGGTTTCCCTACCTTTCCCAGAACCGGTAAGAACTTTGCACCATGACCACTACCCCCAGTGCAAACAAAGACAGATTCCTCTGCATAAGTTGGAACATGATCAATCTGAGAGAGAGTAAGATCAGCAAATGTATCCTGGAGAGGGAAGGACTATATGCTCACCACAAATGAATTGTCCAGCGAGTCGGTGTACCAGCAGAGCTTGGTAGAGAAAAAGGGCGTACTCTCGAACTCGGGCATGAAGATAGACACAAACTGCTTAATCGCATATAATGCTGGCTCTGGAAGTAGCGAGCATTCCTCCACTGGGAGAGGGACCGACCATTGACCGTCCTGAGTGAACGGAGTATCTTGTGGCGCTGGCTGAAAATTGGTCCACTGGAAATAACGTAGTTAGCGCATACTGAGAGCGGTTAACTAGCAGTACCTACCTTGACTCCCCGGTATCCAATTTTAACAAGGCCTTCTGGGGTTCTTGGTAGGACGTAAATACTCCCTGTGTCTTTTCCAGATGCGTCTCGCGGTGTACTCTTCCAGGTCATGACGGGAAATCGTTCTGGTGAGTACTTGTTCCATAGCTCGGTATTGCTCTTATCAATCTTAAGTGTTGCAAGACTACCAGCTGAGGATTCAAGGTGATAGCTTAAGTCGGGGAAAATTTGTGTCGAAAACGACCCGGCTTCGAAATTGTCAGTAAAAGGAGATGGGAATCGGCGGATTCTCGCGACTTACCAGCCACAACGACGGCATCCGCATCATGAACAACGCCATTTTTCGTCTTCAGTCCTGCAACTTTATCTTTACTTGGCTCGATTTCGCTTTTTACTTTGACTAAGTAATCAACAGCCCCCTCCTGTGGTCCGAAATGGAATTTCACGCCCTTGTCGGCGGCCACTTTTTGGTAGTGAGCACATGCATTACTGCACCTCACAAATCCAGCCAGGGAGTCAAGGACCGCCTCATACGTGCTTTTAGAATCTGGAATCTGGAAATTGAGTATCTTGTCTTTCCAGCCCAGCTTATCAGCCCGTTCGCAGTCTGCGGGGTCACTCTTGACGAACTGCGTGTCTCGCAGACCATCACGCTGCATGTTGGCTAGAGTCTCCTTTTCTAGACTGCTCAAGTTTTCGGAAGGCTGTATACGGAGCATTCCACTGTTAACAAAAAGTCGGTTATCTCTGTCGTCGTCTTGTTCCGTAGATCCACGCTTCTCGTCGTCCGAAACCCACGCTCCCCGGCTTTCCAAAGCGAGGCGCTGGTAGTGAATCTCTTTCCCATATGATGCGCGGAACTGATGTTCTTAGTTAGCATAGACCTTGATCTGTGGGCAGTTTCAGTCACTCACGATTTTGTTGTGGTCGGCGGATGCAGCTTGTACATCATCGGCTGTGGGGTCGTATCCATTTGCATCGTACTGGCTTCGATCAAAGACAGTCACTTCATAGTCTGTGAAGTATAAGATATTCGTAACCTATTTGCAATAAGGAGCCTTGCTTACTTCTATCTCGCAGGGCAATCGCCAGTGAAAGACCAAATATGCCCGCTTTAACGGTCGTTAGCAATTTCTAAAGACCCGTACACTCGGGTATTTGTCTTACCTCCAATAACGGCGACTGACTTTTCTTCCGTCATTCTCGACTAGGTTGTCTTTGGATCTGAGGCTGTAATGTCTCTGTGGACGTGGTAGGAGGAAGTGGACGTCCCCGCAATGAAACCGAGAGCTTCAATGTCCATGGGGTCCTCATGATACTCCACCTTGATTGGCGAGAATAACCCCTCGGCTTATATTAGACTGGGTCTAAGAACACTCTTTTCCGCTCTTTGATGATATCTAATTGCAATAATTAGTTAACTAACATAGCAAGTGTATGTATATCCTCCCATACTGGCCAACACCGGACAAGTATCACGTCATATATATTATACAGCCATGTTCTATCTTTTAAGTTACTGTCAAACAGTGCGATACCTAGGTAATGACCTTTAAATATGTAATCCTCATATCGAAGGCATAATAGGAGCATGCGAGTAAATTAGCACCTGATATAGAACTGATAATTTAGATCAAAAGACCTGAAAGAGAACGCTCAGACACGCAAATGCCCGGATGGTCTAGTGGTACGTTCCACTTCAAAATGCTATCCTGTGAATCAAAACTAATGACATACATTAGGTATGATTCGCGCTTCGGGTGAACCTGTGCGAGGTCCCGCGTTCAAATCGCGGTTCGGGCCCTTCAATTCTTTTTTTCCCTTCCATTCCACACATTTGGTAACTATCAATCAACCCTGTCTATATTATTAACTCCAGAGTATTGGAAGCAATCTCCGCAGAGTGGAGCGCCGCCTGCCGCAGTGAGGGTCAATATAACAGCGCGAGATTGCCACTGGTAGTCGGATGACACGAATTTGACCAGAATGTGCTATCGTACTAGAGGTGTGGCAGCTGTGTATAATGGGAATTCGAATATCAAATTCTACGCTAATTGAGCATAAATCTATGTCTAGAGAAATGATTGAATGTGGCAGAGACTAGTAAAGTAGTTACACAGAGAATGCGAAACCATGATATGAAAATACGGGCAGGAATCAATAAGTACCACCAACAAGGCGTAACCCATCTTAGTGGTGTGTATGGCTTGCGCTCTGCATGCTTATCAGGCTCATGTGAGCATTAAAATCTAAATCATGGTTTCTTGATCCGGACGATGTCGTTGGCCCAGCCCTCCGACAGACTACATATGTACATAGTCATGGACGCTATCCCCACTGTTTTAGGACATAGGGTTAGTGGTAGTGACAGTTAAGAGGTTGTAGATTTTCTTGTGGACCGCGCGGTAATCTTTGCTTAAATACGTCGTCCAAGATTAAAGAATACGACTAAATGAAAATCAAGAGGTAATAGCCGGGGCTTAACGACTGAAATAACAGAACAGGTTCTAAGGTCAAGTTTAGTCCAAAACGCAGGATATAGTCATACAGTTACCTAGCTAGGTAGACTCTGGTTTGCACGGCGGACCCCCGCCCATAAAGTCAAATCTAAGGAGGATCAGAAAACCCACCCTGCCCTCCTCTTCAGTGCACTTCCTGAAGGATGGAATTGAACTATGTCATGTAGCTAGCGAATATGAGTGAAAAAAGAAAAAAAGAACGTCCCCGGGAAGGCTCGAACTTCCAACCTCCTGATTAACAGTCAGACGCGCTAACCAATTGCGCCACGGAGACGTGCTTGTTGAAGAGACATGGCCCAATAACGCTAGTTGATGAATGGAGCTAATATGTAGATACATACACACTTATGCTCGTGCACCATCTCAGAAAGTAAGCATTCTCGCCCGCCCCAGGGCGGCCTCTAATCTTTTAAAGATGCGGTATGGAGACTTCAACATGAATGAATTAATATAAAGATAAAAATGGAAGCAAAGTGCCAACAATTCCTAGGTGACTGACGGCCATAGTCACCCAATTGCACGTCCCTGGGGTATAATGGCACTTAAGTGACAAAAGTGATAGGCCTAATGTATCAAGAGTTAGTTATACGTTTTATAAGGCGTTATATAGCAGTTGATAGTTATAATGAAGTGTAATAAATAACAGTAAAGGCCCTATCCTCGCTACTCCCCTGATATAGTACTGCATATAGCTGGCAGGACTATCCTTAGGCGGTGTATAGCACTATTGGTACATATACCCGTGGACATCTGGGGTATGGCTGGTAGCTCTTCCCGCAGGCGGTAACGAGGAATTCAACCAATAAAACCACACGGTTATTCTGTGTCTGTCCACGGGTGACTTGGTACCTGGATTCAATTTCTGCTGATTCGGCCATACCAAATCTTCTTAACCAATTGGTTAGCGCGTCCGACTGTTAATCAGGAGGTCGGAAAGTGAGCCTTCCCGGGGACGCTCTCTTTGTTTTTCTCTTCCCCTCGTCTACTCACTCATTTCTCACCCTTCCTTTCTTTTTTCTATTCTGGTTTAATGAGGTCAGCTTATTGACATAAGATTAAATTATGATTCAAACTCAGACCAAAATAAAATGTGGCTATGGTGATATTATGTCCGTACGGAGTATTTCGATGCAACCTCGGATGCAGTCGCCCTATACCGTAGCATAGAGAAAGTCTCGCGTGAGCTGTATGTGGATCGACCATGTAATGCTTCTGCAGATCGCATGGAAATGGCAGCCAAGATATGCCATGTCTCAGCCTGCCTGCATGCTTCCCCGTGAACCCCACAATAGTCCTCGGCCTTATTGCACCGGTTTCTGGAGGAGTATCTATTATGGGATTATCGGCTGATGATGGACCCGATATGAAGACATCCTATTTGGGCCGTGTCACCTGTGACTCTAAGACCTTCGTCTAAGACCTGCGCCAAATGCAGCCTGCCAGAAAAGAGGAAATAGAACATTCTTCGACGGGAGGCCTGTCGGACGGAGATATATAAACCTCGTCGAGGCGGGAGTAAAATGTATACAACAAGCATCGAAAACATTCTACCCTTCCCCAAGGTACCATCAAATTCCCTCCAACCATGAAGTCTACTATCGCCTTCACCTCTGCCCTCCTGGCAACCCTCAACCTTGTTGCTGCTGCTCCGGCACCGGCTGCAGCGGAAACAGTGTCCGTCTCCTTCGACCCAAAATATGACGTTGGAACATCATCTCTCAAATCCGTTTCCTGCTCCGACGGTGCCAATGGCTTGGTCACTCAAGGCTACACCGATTTCGCATCGTTGCCAAGCTTCCCAAATATTGGCGGTGCGATCACCATCCCCGGCTGGAACAGCCCTAATTGCGGCAAATGCTACGCGCTGCACTACTCGAATGGCAAGGTCGACAAGACAATCAACGTCATCGCTGTCGACACGGCCCCGGGTGGCTTCAACATTGGCTTGCAAGCCATGAACACTCTTACCAACGGTCAGGCGGAGCAACTTGGTCGTGTTGCCGCCACTTACGTCGAAGTCGATGCCAAGGCGTGTGGGTTGTGAGGTCAGATAAGATTTATTTTGAATGTAATAATGAAGTAAGTAGAATAGTACACGAAAGCTTTGGATAATGCGAGGGCAGAGATTAGAGTGTTAGACCGAGTATGTAATTGGATTTGCCAAACTAAATATGTATACATGGACTGTTATGTATACAGATAGTCCATAATATACATAAAGGCTCAATCAAGCACCTTCAGCATCTCTTCCACACACCCAAGTTTTTCCCGAGGCTTGCCCTTTAGCTGGCCGCTCTCTCGCTCTACCGCATCGATTCGCTGCCAGTCTTTCCACGACGTGGGGCGTAGGCCACGGCGCTGGGCCTCGAGTTTCACTCCGTCCCAGCCTAGACCGCTACTGCTATCAGGTGCATGAAGTAAGGATGTCGCATCGGTACGCTTCGCCAGATCCTGTACAACGGTGTCTGCAGTAGTGAATGCATCAGTCATTGTTGAGGCAATTACACCCGTTGGACCTCGCTTCACCCAGCCAGCACAGTACAGGCCGGGTAGGTGGGATATGAGAGATCCGCCAGGTAGACTTTCAGGCTCTCCCTTGTTCGACAAGCTTGTTACGCGGCCAAATCCATCATTAGGGATGATACCGCGCCGCGTATCGAAGTCGATACCAAGATCTTCTAGTCCCGGAAGGGGGAGAGATTTGTAGCCCACACTTCGGAAGAAGACGCTAGCTGGTAGCTTGACCTGCGCACGCTTTCCGCTCGATAAGTGCTTTGGAGACACTTTAGAGCTGGGGCTGTGGGGGTCGGATGGGTCAAGTTCGTTGCGAGAGAACTTTACATGAGATAGATGATATGGGTATCCCGGCGACCAATGAAGAGAATCGGGCGCAAGTAAGAAATCCAAAGACCAAGACTTCGAGGTTGTCAGAGGGTCATTAGTTGACCCTTTAGCCAAGAGCTGCATTAGACGCTTCTGCGCCCGGGGCAGTGCCGATACTACTTCTTCCGGCGGAAAGATATCTTGTGGAATGGGATCAAATGATACACCCGGAAGCTGTAGCATTTCACGGAGCTCTTTGATAGTGAAGGAAGCCTGAGTCAAGTAATTAGCAACCCGCGTATCAACAGTCGGTTCATCGTAACTCACCTGTAAAGGTCCGCGGCGGCCAACAACTCGCACTCGCTTAATGCGACTTGTGGCGAGTTTTTCCACCGCATAATCTGCGATATCGGTCTTCCGGAGAGTATTGACGTCTGAAAGAAGAATCCGGGCAACGTCTAGTGCAACGTTTCCTTGTCCAACAATAACGGCGTTCTCTCCGCTTAGGTCCGGATCGAGATCTCTGTGCTCTGGAAGACCATTGTACCACCCCACAAAGGCACGGGCTGAGTGCACGCTATGTAGAGCTTGTTCTCCAGGAATCCCCAGCTCCTTATCTTTTGCGGCACCGTAGGCGAATATGATGGCGTCATAGTGTGGTTTGAGGGCAGCGAGCGGCAGATCATGTCCGAGGTCGACATTACCGACGAAATTGAAGCGCGTGGACTCGGCTACCTCTGTGAATTTATCTTCGCAATTCTAATTTTCATATAACCATGAGCTTATCTCTACATACAATGTTCAATGACCGACTCATCACTGAATCGCGGTTTACCGTGACTCACCTTGACTTCGGGATGGTCCGGGGCAACTCCGTACCTAGCCAAGCCGAATGGCACAGGCAGCTTCTCATACATGTCAACTACCGCATCTTCCCGTTTACCCAAAAGACGATAGGCAGCATAGAATCCTGCTGGGCCAGAGCCCACGATGGCCACACGGACGGGCCGATCGGTTTGGGCAACATGACTGTTGGAGCGTTTGGCTGTAAATTGCGATAAAAAGCCCCGATACTGTAGAATAGGCCGGCGATTGAGCTGCACAGTGCATTGAGCACATACAGAGGTCTGTTTCAAGCGCATGGTGCATGGATTCGAGAGACCACGGTGGTGATCGGAGATAATAAGATAGTGCACGTGACCTTATCGGTTGCCCCGGGTGACTATCACATGTTTGCAGATGTACAACCTACTCGGACCTGACATCCCAGGAGCTGACAGTCGCATTCCACATTCCCAAGGTGCTCCGTCAACATTCCTCTCTTTTGCTTCGCGTGGATGCCACGAGTGGCTTTCAGTCGCTACAATGGGCAGATCGTCACCTCCATTCCTTTATGAGAGTCCATCCGCCTACAGCTTTAAAGGTCCAACCGACCGCGGCTTCAACCCGAGGGCCGCGACAGAGGCGAGCTGGACTCGTCCAGCAGCGAAGCCCAAGCAAAAAGCACCGCTAGTGAATTTAAACCGCCATCCTGACACGGTATGCGCGATCTTTCGGAAATTAATGTTAGATTCTGCTAATAGTGGATGTAGTGGGGTTCCTTCAATACGGTCAGCTCATTTACACCGATGAGCCACAAAACGAAGGATCGGGTCAAGTATGCGCGGTCAACTCAACTTGCACTTCGAGTGCTCACTCTTCTCGGGGCCCTCGGGTCCCTGTTCTGCTCTATCGTTATTAAGGGAGCTGCAGTGACCGTCATCTGGATCATTCGCGCCGGCGTGAGTATAGTTCGCCCAACCAGACTTTCTCCTACTGACCTCTCTTATAGCCCATAGTTGCAATTCTCCACACGACATATGGTATCTACCATAATTCCCGATCTGCCCTTAACCGCCCTGCAGGTTCTCAAGCTAGCTATGGGCTATTCGCTTCGACTCTCGACTTAGGACTCATCCCATTCTACGTGTTTACTGCTTTTATGGCGTATGGTGAATGGACCTCCAATGCATACCACTGGGGAACTCTATTTAACGACAGCGACCTGGTCGTACAACTCTCTGAGGCAACCTTCATCTTGGCTATCGCAAATGGCGTGTTGCATCTTATCTCCCTTGCCATATCGGCTTTCTTGGCTGTCACATTCCGGAAGATCTCCCGCCTACCGCCTGACATGAACCCACTTGAAGACAACTTGACCGCACGTCCCCGTAAGAGCCACAAGGAGACTGAAATGGAGGAGAAACATCTCAGCCAATCCACCCTGAATTCCAGCTTCGAGGATCCGCTCATCGGATCTCCTCGCAGCGTGCCATTCATGCACACACGTGAACAGTCCTCCGGAGGTGATTCCAACCGTGGATCAATGGGTATGCTCGACGAGCAGCGGCAGTCACATCCTTCCTTTTATCAGCGTCGCCTATCCCATTTGGAATCCCCAACGGAACCTCACATGGATCCCTCCAGCCCCGAGACGCTATTTCAACAGACCGCGAATCAACCCTATGACTTCACAACGCAGACACCTGCCCCAGAATATCGAAAGGTCGCCTCGCACGCCCCTGAAATCATCAATGCTAGTCCCCAAATGCGTAATTTGTCATCACGTACGGCTGATCGATCGGAAACCGTCAGCCCATTGTCCGATAATTGGGTGGCATACTCTGAACGCTCTCTATCGCCTATTGGCGAGCCGCAGGACGGGAACGCAGCCACTCTTCGCCAGTCCTCCTCTGTTTACAGCCGCCAAACTAACAAGACCACCACGTCCGCCGGTAGCGGCATTCGAGACTGGTTTGCTTATGGTTCTAAGCCGGAGCCAAGCATCGGAAGCGCTATCCCAGAAGATGTACGCGGGGAATATGCATCGCTCTCCATGCATGAATTTTATGGACTCGATGATTACCACCGTGAACAAGATGTGGGTGATCAGCGCATGGAAATATTCCCAGACCCAGAAGATCATAAAGATGACTTCGATGACCAGCGTGATGGCTCTCTTCCATTTAACCCGCTCATGCTTAACCCACCAACACCGCAACCTATTCTGACCGAAAAGCCCGAGAATACCGATCCCGTGCGGCGCGTTGTATTGGGTGATAGTCCCAATCTATCATACAATGCACAGACGCAGCCAGTGTCTGTTCCACACGAGAGCCCCAACCCCACTTCGCCCAAGACCCGATTCTACGGCGAGTTGGATGTAGATGGCAAGCCTGGATTGGCTGTGTCTCGCGAGCCAAGCGAACAGGTGGTCCGTAAGCCCACCAAGCTTACGAAGAAACGTAACAGCAAGATGTCTGCTTATGAGGCTCTAAAGAAGAACGACAACGACGAAGAAAATGGATATCTGTCAGCCAGGATGTCTACTTCGCCGCACGCCACCGAAAGTGACCGCAAGGGCCGCGTCGTGAGCAACTCCGGCGCAGACACTGCCCGACCTGGTATCGCGGCCGGGGTTGGTGCCTCCTTATCCTCATACGGGAGTTACATCGCCGGTCTGGGTGTCGGACGCCGCCGCGATGTGAGTGGGAAGGTCGCCGAAGAAGGGCGCAGTGAAAACCTTCTCGATGAGCAACCCGGCCGCAACCAGAACGAAAGCCACAGACAGACTACGAGCTCTTCGCCAACTCGTGCTGCAGGATGGGCTCGATTTGCCGGACTTTGAATGTGATATCTATGGTCTTTTTTTCCAAGGAGTTTACGGTTTGTCTTCATGAATGGTATGTAGCGACTTGCTTTTGTTTGGGACTCTTATATCCCGTTTCCATTGAGTTGATTTCCATGGAAATATGTACTGATTGCAATTGTTTCGGTGTATTACGGTTTCATTTTTGTTGTATGTAGTTCTGGCTCTCAATGGACATTTAAACTAAGCATGATAGTTATACACCTTCTTGTGAAGTGTTCCGAAGCACCCACGACTTGAGACCGTTCAAAGTAAACCATAGCAGGAACCCATCAGTTGTCTCCCAAATTCTGTTATTGAATATTGTCGCAAAGAACTTGTTTTTAGGAAGACGCCGATTGTGTTCAGGTTTCATTGGCTAATACAATCCCCGAGAAAGAGTACCCCAGAATAAGTCCTTAACTCGCAGCAGTGTCAAGCCTGATAGCTTGTCACTGGACTTGGGCTCAGGGGTGTTGCGGCCGACTGCATTCAGACAAGTCCACTGCTGGAGAGGGCAAAAGCTTCAGAAGTATAAATGTGTGACACCAGTC